GACACTGAAGACTGGAGTAATGGCTGCTTTGCATCACAGGAATTAATTAGATATTTAAGTTATTTTAAATTGTAATAATATTTCACAGTATTGCGGTTTTTACTGTATTTCTGATCAAAATACAGCGAGCACAAGAGACTTCTTTCAAAACCATTTTTGAAAAAAAAAAATCTCATGACCCCAAAATTTTGAATGGCAGTGAATTCCTTTAAAAAATAACAATAGAATATAAACCAATGTTCAGCATATAATTACATTTATTAATAGCAATAAGCACAAACACAGTTCTTCTACCAAACAATATTGTGCATTAAATTAACCATAGGTTGATTAAGGTTGCCAGGCAACGTGATGCATTAATATATTATTGAACGAATGTGTGAGAACGGGTGTCTGTAAATCAGCAGTTTTCTGCCTCATCTAATCAGACACAATCACAACAACGGGATATTGTTGTCAGTTAAGATGAATCATAACAGGTTGGAGTAGCTCAGGTTATATCAAACACTTGCAGATGAGCCAGTAACACTAGCTGTTTGCTGTGAAAATAACTGTAAAGTGGTAATTAGTTTTGAATTTGTAGAATGTGTTTTTCTGTTTCGTGTTGAGTGCTGTAGCATGGGTTTGAACAGAACATCTTAAAAGAGAAGTTCACACTCGTGTCGTTTCAAACCTGTCTGGCTTTCTTTCTGCTGTGGAACCTAAAAGAAGATATTTTGAGAAATGTCTCAGTTTTGTCAATATGGTAACCAAAACTGCTTGATTATCAACATTCGTCAAATATCTCATTTTGTGTTCTGCAGAAGAATAAAAAAATGCATACAGGTTTGGGATGGTGTGAACTTTCCCTTTAAGTGATCTTTCAGTGCCATTTCATATCCTCATTGTATTTCTGTCAATAAAAATGCTAATAGATAAGTAGTGAAAACCACTTGAGCACTCTAGTACTTACGGTCTCTGTGGACAGGTTTTTACCACCCATTTTCACTGCTTGAGGTCTGACCGTTGAGAAATGTTGATTCTCAGCAATGATGAAGTCCAGATCCTCTAGGTTTCAAAGCATCATTATAAGAGCTGCAAAGTTGAGGGTAAAGCTGAAGTCAATATATGTATTATGTGGACTGTAGTGACAGCCTTTGTAAGCTAATGATAAAGTGTGACTCCCATGACTGCAGACTTTCTGGAGCTAGCAAAATTACAGTCTGACACCCTCCATGGCTTCTTGAGTGAGCGTCGCCATTCTTTTGTGTGTATTTTGTGACTTGCATTGTTCTTTTGTGTGTGAGAGAGACTAGATAGGTCCAGGAACATTTTTGATTTTAGGCCACATCATTGTTAGCCATGTGTTGTCCCTTTGAGCATTTCTGTTTCTCTTCCATCGCAATCTTAACTCCAGAATCGCTTCACACACATCCCAAAGTGCAGCTGCCTCTGCTTTGGATGTTGTCTTGTGTTTGTGTTCATGGGTGTGTGTGGTTGTTTGCACATATGTGTGGATGTTTACATCCTTCCCAGAGACCGAGATCTGGGAGGCTTTGGTCCCGGCTGTGTCTTGTCTATCATTACCATGATAAAAGACCTGCAGTCGGGGGCCTCTTAAGAGCTTCCCTCTTTTTAGGAGTGCCAGGACCATTCCAGATAAATTGTGGGCTGCCAAAAGGCCTGATGGGTATTCGTGCCTGCTCTTCAAACTATGTGGGAGAGCATTCTTTGTAAAGTTAGTGCCCAGCCCAGTGCAGGGTCAGCGATTATGTTTCAGGCAACCTATGGTCCCACTCATCTTATTTTATTATTTTATTTTTATATAGTTTATTTCTTAGCCTCTTATTTTATGTTATTTTATTTTATTTTATTTTAGCCTTGTTCTATTTATTTTTATTTCATCTTTTATTTAGTCTTTTATTGTCCTCTTTATTTTCAATATTTCTACAGTTACGTCACCTTATTTTTAACAATCGTGCTAATAAAGCTTTGTTGATAGATAGGGATGGATGGATAGATAGACAGATAGATAGATAGATAGATAGATAGATAGATGGATAGTCTGTATCTCTCTCACTGATTCTGTCTCTTTCACGCTGACTTTCACACTCGCTTTGTCACCCAAAAGATCCTGCATTCTCTCTCACACACACACACACACACACACACACGCATGCACGCACACATGCACACACACTCTCATGCACGTGAAGAACTCTAGTACACATTCTCACTCGGCTTCTCTCCCTGTTTCAACAAAATGTCTTGCTTTTTTTCTCTCTCTCTCTCTCTCTCTCTGTGTGTGACAGGGAATGACAGGCTGTTTTTGACGGGTGATTTTCTGTAGCAATCGATGCCATATGGAGGTAGTGTGGAAAAAGAGAAACACAATTGCTTATCGACAGAGAAGTCAAAGTCTGAAAAAGACAAGCTGACAGCTGTCGGAGGAGAGAGCCACACAAAGGGAGGAAAGGAGAAAAGGGAAGAGAGAGAGAGGGGGAGAAAATAGAGACGTAGAGTTAGTCATTGGCACAATACACTTTCATGTCTTGAAAGGGAGAGTGTTATATGTGAAAGTGTTGAAACGATTGAATCTCTCCGTTAATAAAGTATTATTAACTTTTTTTAGTGACGTGAAGAGTTTATAATGGTGACAATTTTATAATAACACCATCTCAAGATATTGCTTGAAATGTCAAGAGGATGATTTGTATAGTTTGTGACTGTGAGTAATAGAGCACATTTTATTTTATTTACTTTAACTGTTGTATTTTATATTTTATTTTAACTGTTTTATTTAATTTTAATTTTACTTATTTAGTTTTCTATATTTTTTTTTCAGTACTGCGATTATATGCATTGGCAATATTGATATGCGAGTGTGTCCTAATGTTTTCTAGCTGTGAGCTTGCAGAAAGGACGTAGCTGTCACAAAATGACACAAAGTTGGACTGACACTTTCAGCTATAGGACCGTCTAGTGGCCTTGCAGCCACTGACCTATCTGATGTGTGTGTGGGTAAATTAGATTTTATTGTGTGTAACACGCACAATAACACACAGGGCTTCACCTATTGCAGCATGTTATTGTCAAGTAAAATCTCAAGACTCTGTGTCTTAATAGTGAGATATTTTCATTTGGCTATATTAAGTGAAGCAGCATTAAAGGAGTAATGATTTGGAAATGTTTGTGATAATGCATTATTAGTGTATTCTGCTCTTTGGTCATTGGTCAAGCCTAGTTTGTTTGCTCTCTTTCTATCCTCCCTTTCTATCTATCTCTCTTTCTTCCTCTGTTCTGCCCTTTGTGTTCCTCCTCCTTTGTATGTGAAAACACCCTCCCAAATCCATTTTCAGCTTGCTCTTCCCTCACCTCTTTCACCTCTGCAGTCTGCGGATAAGTCCGGACCCCTGTACCTCTCACACACGCTTGTTCCATCAAACACAGAGGCACACAAAGACGGTTGACCCGTATGTCAGCCTTCAGAGCACTTATGATGCTTCCTCCCCACCCAGTCTCTCATGCTCTCTCCATTTCTGTCCTTCACTCTTTTTTCTTTGCATCCGCATTTCACCATTTATTGAATTCTGAGCAGGTGCGAGTTTTGGGGGCACTTAACCCACAACCTGAACATAAGCTGATGTGCATGAGAGGAATCTTTCTGGCTTAATCCAGAGTTTGAAACTTTTTTTTTTTAATTGGTGGTATATTTGGTTTTATTTAGCGATTTCATTGACATGGAAAATGTTCAGATAAGGGAAATTACTGAATATTTAATTTTATTTTTATTTAACTGTATGTGTACACACACACACACATATACATGTAGTATACTTTTTATCAGAATGTATTTATTTGTTGAAAATACAGTAAAGATTGTGAAATATTATTACTATTTAAAGTAGCCATTTCTATTTTTAAATATTTGAAATTTAAATTATTTCTGTATTGGATTTGGAGTCCAACCTGCTTTAGGATATGAATGACACTAAATTATGTTCCTGCACTGCAGCAAGATAAGCCGTCAGAAATATTTTAGTCACATCATTACAATGCCAGTTGATGACAGTTGTACGTGCGTGATAATTAAACTCAAGCAGTGCCTTCAACCATGAGAGCCTTTGCAGTTTAATGGGTGAACTCTCCCCTGTCACGGCCAAAAGGAGGTCAGAGTCTTATTTTTGTTTGCAATTGCCTTTGTTGTCATTTGTGATTATGCCTGTCAATGAGAGAGCTACTCTGGGATGAATTTTTAGGCTTGACGTTGACTATTATTTCGATATTGCAAACTAGGGAAGAATATAAATTGAAAAAAAATGTAGTGCATTAACCTTGCATTGAATTGGGGGGGGGGGACCCAAGGACATTTGCTTATCTGAATACATGCTTTCAAGTTTTAGCACATTATCACCCTAGTATAATTAAGGTTAGTCAAAAAAAAAAAAGCATTTCACAGTTGACGAACCTAAAAAAATTGTCAGCTCTGAGAAGTGTGTGCTACAAATCACAGAAAGTGCAAACCAACAACTTTCCCATTTTTGCCCCGCGGCGCCGGTGTCTACAGACCTCATTTTCACTCTGTAGTCAATAGCCTGTGTAGCTTTTAATGCTTGAAAGGTTAACAGCATTGTCGTGTTGGAGGTGACAGGGTCTGGGTGCGGAGCCGTGAAACACGCAGGCCCCTGGATGAGCTCTGTGCTGGGAGGGATCTGTCACTGAGAAAATGTCAGGGGATAATGTGTGATCACTGGGCGTTTCAATGGAAGGTCAAGCTCCCCCACCTTCATCTTGGCTCTGTTTGGACTCCCCAGGGGATGCTATACTGAGCCAGAGACTAGCAAATGCTGTATTACTAGAGTACACTTGAAATGTCAGGGACCGAGTCTTTCTCAACACACACCGACTGTCTCACCATTAGCCCTGAAACCAAACTCATTTGCTGTGACAGATACATGCTTTTGAATACACACTTGCATAAGCTGTACACATGTTCTTACCTCTCTCTCTGTTTTTTATAGATGGCAGCGATTACAGCGAAGTTCTCCCTGACTCATTTCCATCTGCCCCGGCCGAACCGTTGCCGGAATTCCAGAGCGAGCCAGAGGACGCCTTCATAGTGAAAAACAGACCGGTCAAACTTACCTGCAAGGCTGCTCCGGCCACGCAGATATACTTCAAATGCAACGGAGAATGGGTGAACCAGAATGACCATGTGACCAAGGAGAGTCTGGACCCTATCACAGGTAAAGTCTTTCATATGGACAAAAAGTATGTGGACACCTGAACTCAAGACCCATATGTGCTTGTTGAACATTGACTTGTAAAACCATGGACATTAATAGGCAGTTAGACGTTATAATTAATCCCAAACGTGTCTAGTGGGGTACAGGTCTTGGCTTGGTAAAGTTTCTGTGTACTGTAGAATAGGCCACTTCAGAGATTGATTCCTGATAGTTGACAGTTGAGTCAAACAGTCGAGTTCCAGAGGTAAAAATCCCATTCATTTTCTCCATTGGGGAATTGATTTTGAACGAACATATAAACCTTTAAAGACAGACCTACTGTGTGCTATATGCTTTTGCTGAAGCCGTCAGCCCACATTATTTCAACCTATTTTTTAAATTGTGTTAAACAGAAACATGAAAGCAGAAAGGAATCGCAAAGAAATCAAACAAATCACACTAAGAGAACACTTTAGCACCCACCCACGCTCATGCAGTGTGAATGACTGAAATAGTCAAAGACATTTATTTCGTGTACTACTGTATGTTTGTGTAGCAGTGAACACGGCTATGTCCAAAAGATCTTTGTGGGAAGTTAACTGAATCATAAAATTAGCAAAACTGTTTGTCTGCTCAGATGAATGTAAATGTAAATATGTTTTCTGATAATTGCACAATTGGTATAATCAGAATGATCAAGCTTATTTTTATTCAGACCTTTTATTCTTCCCTTAGACTACATTTACATTAGCTCTAGATTATTGTTTTTTTTTGTGCGTGTTTTTTTATTTGTATTTATTTACATTTCATTAAAAAAAAACATTTAAAAATTCCGTATTAAAAAAAACAATTATTAATTTGTTATTATTTCATTTTATATTATTAATTTATTTATTATTTTGTTTATTCACGTATATTTATTAGTGCTGTCAAATGATTAATTGCGATTAATCACATCCAAAATAAAAATGTTGTTTACATAATATATGTGTGTGTACTGTGTATATTTATTATGTATATATAAATACACACATATGCATGTATATATTTAAGAAAAATGTGTTACGTTTATATATTAAATATATTTATTTATATATA